CTGTGTCCGTGTTAAGTGGACTGCCTGCTGTTGGAGGAGCCTTGGAGGCTTGAGATGGGTGCAGCCTGAGAGCTCTGCCTGGTTCTTCCTGGTTAAGGGTGTGCAAAGGTGACACCCTCAGGTTATGCGTGGTAAATCTCTCTCTTTTTATTTATTTATGTATTTTATTTATTCAGGGGGTAAGTAACACCGCACAGCACGGCTGTGCAGAATTGATGGTATTTCGCTTTCAGTCTTTGGCTTCTACCCGCAGAGTCCCAGAGTCCCTTTAGGCTCCTCTGGACTCCCACTGGGTTGCCTAGGCTACTGAATTGTAGTGACTCAGTTCCTTAGCTCTCCCCCATTGATATGTAAATCCAGAGAGGGGGCCTGCTCTTTGTCTCTTGGGAATTCTTCAAGCCTTGCAGCCTTGCAACCTTTGCAAGGTTAGGGGGAAGAGAAACCCCGAAGCTTTTTTTTCCTTCTTTCCGGTAGTGAGTTTGCTGCACTTTCCGGCCCCCCTCTAGATTCTGACCCCCGTTTCCCCACCAATGTCTCGGGTTATTGAGCTCACCTCCCCTTCCAGCGCCGATGTGTGGACTCAGAGCCCTGAGCGTCCCAAGTCTCCCCGCTGTTGTCTGTGTGGCATGCACTCCCCTTCGAGCACTGGCGTGCAGACCCTGGGGCTTCCGCGGCTGGGTCCCGCAGCTTGGCTTCCGCGCGGTGGGCGACCTTGTTCTCCCAGTAGGTCCTCCGATTCACGGCCACTGGATCCAGAAGAGTTTCCCCTGCAGTATTTTCCTGGTTCTTTTTTCTGCGGCTACCGTAACTCCCCTTTTATTAAACTAAATTTTCCCAGACTATCGGTGCGTGCCCTCACTATTCCGCCATCTTCCCCTTTTTGTTTATTTTCGAGCAACAGGAGGCATGATTCTTGGCCATACCATTGTTGACCCCGTTTCCATGTGGTCCTCTGTTCATGGCTGTGCCTGTCTTAGGTTGTCCGCCAGGGGATCTTACCCGTCATTGACTAACCAGCACTCAAAACGGGAGACCATAGGAGTGCTTGCTCAGATGGGGGTAGGAATGAGGAACAATGGTAACCGCATGCAGGCTGTGGGCCATTTGAGTGGCTGACCAGAGCTAGTGGGGGTATAAAACAGTAACAAATATGGCTATGGGCAGTTCCTCAGGGTAGGATGATAGGGCAGTAGCTTGACAATTGGTAGCAGGTGCATCCACTAACAAGGTGGACTCTGTCTTGTTCAGCTAGTTCTGGTTGACTATCAGTTGCAGGCTTGATGTTTCTGGCTGGTACCCAAATGGGCTATCCCACATTCTCTGGATAGACACAAGCATATCCTTGGCCCTTGGTCAGCAAAAGCCTTTCTATGGGTGTTGGAATCCAGGGCCTGAATTCCACATCTGCTGCTACATTTAGGGCAAACATGCAGGTGGGATGGGGTCTAGCAGCTGCTCTGAGAGCCTGGGGTACCTGGGAACTGCCACAAACATGGGGACCCTCACTGGGTGCAGATGGGATGACCTCACATGGGTTATTGCCTCAAGGTCGTCTAAGTTCATCCCATGGGTATCTGGGGGGTGTCTAACTAGGCATTGCTGCGTTGTCTGCTGACACGTCATTTTCACTGTCAGAGCGCTCTCTCCCTAAGTCATCAACTGATGTCTGTGAGACAGGGACCTGGAGTGACAGGCTCTCATCACTCACAGATTCATTATGTTTGGTCATCTGTGTGGGTTTCTGAGAGGGGTGTATCTTTCCCATGTTTGAGTGCTTAAGAGCAGAACGGCACGCCAACTCTAGCCAAAGGAAAGACACGCACAGCACTGCTGCCATAATAAAACAAATTCCTAGCACCTCAGTGGTTGATGGCATTATGCAGGGGTTCCCTACGTTAGACAGACAGACAGTGGTGTTATCAGGTCGTACGTTTGTCCTGTGCTTAGTGGGAGACTTCCTTGATTCGTTAGGTCAAGGCCATATGCTCACACGGTGTCTCCGGAGCATCAACTCTCTCAAGGGAGGGTAGATGACTTGGTTCCAAATTCTGGGATGATCAGTCCCTTATGTGAATTCACCAGGTGAACTGAAAGTAAGAGGAGCTGAGAAGCGGCGTACACTTCTGGGCGATGTGTGCTTACCCTGGGATCACTTAGACCGAGAACAAGGACAAGGAAAGGGGCGTAGGAGGGGGTTTTGTGCTCACCCTCACAGAACCAAACAGCACACAAAACACCGAGGGGCCTACTTGCCAAAATCAAGGGAGGACCTCACCGAGTCCGACACACTGTCTCTCTCTCAGTCACATTGGTGCCAGATGTTGCTGTGGATTCATTCTGAGAGGAGGAGCGTGGTGGGGGCAAGAGGCACGGAGTCACCACACAGATCCCAGGAGTTTGGGTGAAAGTGGGTGAGAGGCGAGCAGCCTGCAGACTTGTCTATTTCAGTTGGTACAACAGCTTATATAGTCGAAGCAGCCAATCCAGTCAAGGGGCGGTTTATGCCCTGACCAATCACAGCCTGTTGCCAGGCAGGCTCCATTGCCAGGTGGTTTCCCAGGGAGTTTCTGAAGCAATTCCTGAGTAACTGATGCTTTCTTGCCAGCAGCCATCTTGGCATGGCCTTCTCATTATACCACACGATCCCTTAAGGGTGCAGGGGCCCCGACATGTGGTGCCAGTGCCCCCCGAGCCATGAGGGTGCCAGCATCCCCAGCCCCATGAGTGTGCCTGAACTACCAACCCCATGAGGGTGGCTGCTGCCCCTGACCCTGTGAGGATGGCTGCCACCTGACCTGGTCAGGGTGGCTGTGGCCACCGACCCTGTGATGGTGCCCATGCCCCCTGACCTGTGAGGGTGCCTCTGTCCCCCGACCCATGAGGTTGCCAGTGCCCGCCAACCCCTGTGGTGCCAATGTCCTCCATCCCCCATGAGGATTTCTGAGCCCACCCAATGGGGAGAGGTTGTCTACATGCCCCCCCACACAGTGGCAGTCACAGCTACCCCCAGCCCTCCCCCACCCCAACCACAGCCCACAGTTGGGCCTTCCTCAGTCTTCCTGGGCAGACAGAACTCCAGGAGGCTCCCGAGCTGTCTTTCAGAATCCCTCTCAGTGCCCCCTGAGGAGAGTCAGCCAAGGTAGGCACCTGCCACTCTACCTGCCTCAGGACCGCATCTGCCCCACTGCACCAGCCCCACACTGGGGGGCGCCCCTGTGACCTCAGGGCCAGGCCCCTCCCTCTCCCTGCAGCTCCAGACTCCCTCTTTCCTGTTTCTGTCCTTGGGCCAGCTGGCTCTCTCCTCTTCCTTCCCAGGCAGCCTCGGGACTCAGTGTTGCTGCCCAGGGCCTCCGTGGCTGAGCCTGGGGGTTCTCGGGACAGGACCCACACCACTGGCAGAGAGGCCAGGGAGCTTGTGGTTGATGGTGTAGGGGCTGGGAACTTGGGGGGTGTTGTTGTGGAACAGCCAGAGGTCTTTGAACTTCCTCCTGGGCGTGCCACACCTGCCCCAATCTGAGTTGTGCTGCTGGGGGCAGGGGGCAGGGAGTACTAAGCCCCCCAGCCTGGGAGCCCCAGCACAGGCCAGGGTGAAAGGCTGGGGGTCACCTCGTCCCTTGGGTGTGCAGTTGAGAGTGGCCGGGGGTGAAGCCTTCGGTTGCTTGATGACCTCAAAGCCTGAGAATCCTCTGCACCCATCAGCCCAGGTGAGGCGGGGACACACAGCCTCCTGCCTCCCATCTGGGCATTGTCACACCTGCTACTGGCTGAAGGCAGGGTCCTCAGCCCCAGATGAAGCCCCGTAGCCAGGGCAGGTCAGCTATTCTGAGTTCCGCCTGGCCGGGCCGCAGAGTTGGCCCAGGGCCCCACCTACCACTCTTTGCTGGCCTCTGACTCTCCCTCTTCTGCTTTTCCCCAGCAGGGAGGGCCCAAACTCGCCTCCACGACCTGCAGCCTCCAGACCAGCCGAGGCTCCCTCTTAGATTTATGAGTCTGTGGCCCCCTGCCCGCCCTGCCTCCTCAGGGTCCCCTCAGAGGACTCCTGGGGTTTTTGAGTACCCGAGGGGCCTCCAGCACCCCCTCCAGCCATCTGTTTTAGCTGCGCGCTCCTGGTTCAAGCAGGGTACTTCCTCCTGTCTTTCTCCATCAGGCCTGCTGGCTGCCACGTGAGCCTCCCAGGCTAGTGCTGGCCCTGGCCAGTGGGTCCAAAGGCAGGGCCATCAGTGAGGAGGGAAGCCCAAGAGGGCCAGGCAGTGTCAGGACTGTGGCACTGCTGCCTGGGAGGTGAGTGAGAGGTGGCATGAGTGGCAGGGGAGGCCCTCTCCAGCCTCGACTCCCCGGAAATTCTGGTCATCTACTCCAGCTCCTCCTCCCATCTTTCTTCCCCTTCCTGTCCATGGCCTTTTCCAGAAAGCTCACCCACATGCCCACCTGCTGCTGCTTCCCACCTCCGCCCTGCCCACCAGTGCCATGGCCTGGCTGCTCTTGCCTTACCACCTGTCTCCCTCCTCTCTCTCTGCTGTTCTCTCTGCTTTCTCTCCCACTGCCAGCCGATTGGGTCAGGCAAGGCCGTCCCATCCTGAGAGCCCCAGGCCCCCCTTTGACATCTAACCAGATCCTTTCTCTTCCTCGGAGACCTCCCTTTGCCAGTCTGTCCAGAGAGCTGTTCTGTGACTTGACAGTGGCCCCTCAGCCCCTAAGCCTCCCCCTCATCTGTGACTTTCTGTTGTCTGGTGAGCTCACACCTCCAGGCATGACCTTGGTGAAAATTTGTGCCCCTCTGCGGTCCTACTCCTGCCCTGTTCTATAAATATAAATACTCATAAATACACACACACACACACACACACACACACGTGGCAGTGCCCCTGGAGTTGCAGTGTAAGGAGACCAGCCTGGAAGAGGCCTCTTCACCCCACTGAACGCTCAGCACAGCACAGAGGCTGCCCACTGCTGGCAGGCCCTGCTGCCCTGTGCAGTGCCCACCCGCAGCAAAGTAAACCCTGGGCCCTGTGACAAAGCTGCTACACATGGGCCAAGCAGTATGGCTCTATCTCTTTATTTCAAGATAATAACAGGAGCCACATCACCATGGTGCCACAACCCTATCTCTGCCTCTTTCCTGGGCCAAGTTTCCCAGCCCCAAATAATTATTATGACCTCCTCCTCATTTGCGAGCTCCAGCCTCAGCTATGATACAGGGGAGGCCCTACCCCCAGCATATACAAAATATACACAAGTACAATATGTACGTGGGGGTGGGGGTGGGGAGGCCCACTGGAGGCAGCCTCTTCCCCTCATCAGGCCTAGAGTTAGCCCCAACTGTCCTAGGGTCTGACAGAATGCTGCCTACTGCCCTGCCCCAAAGTGCCTCCAAAGAAAAGGGAGTCCCCTGAATGCCTGCCTAGCCTGCCTCGGCCCTGCCTGGCTGGTGTGCCTCTCTTAGTAAGGGGACAGGCGCCCCTGCATCGCCTGCTCCAGCCTACCCTTTGAGGGCTGTTGACCGTGCCTCCCAGCTGGCCTGCCTGGGGGCACAGGCACGGAGTAAAGAGCTGGACCACGCCTGGCCTACCATGAGCGCCACCTGTGGTAAGCACCCGGCCTCCCATTAGCCTCAGCTTGCCCAGGCCACCCTGCAATTTGGGACCAGGAGCCCAGAGAGGACCCTCATCCTATTGTGCCCTCCTCGCCCATATACCCTTACCCATGATGCCCTGGCCCAGAAGTGACCCTTACCCATGATGCCCCTGGCCTGGAAGTGACCCTTGCCCATGATGATGCCCCTGCCCCGGAAGTGACCCCTGCCCAGCGATGCCCTTGCCTGGGTGCCCCCGCCCAGCAATGACCCTCAATCAGATGCCCTCCTCGCCTGATGCCCTCATGTCCATGCCTGCTGATGCCCCCATGTGATGTTCCTGGCCAGATTATGCCGGCCAGGCTGACACTTAGCCCCAAGAGGGGCGATGAAAACTGCCTGGCTGACTTGCCCAAGTGGTTGAGCATCCCCTGTTCTTGGCTGTTCTGGGGGCCACACAAATGCTGCCTGTGTTGGTCATGGCCTCTAAAGATGGAGCTGGAAATGAGGAGGCCCCAGGAGCCCCCGGGGTCCTCCAGAGAGGCAGCCTAAAGAGGCCTTTCTCTCCCCATCAGGGGTTCTGGCTAAGGAGGGAAGGGAACTGGGAAGGAACGGCAGGGGATAGGGTGGCTAGCAGGGGTGGAGTGGGCAAGGATGGGGTTGGGGCTCTCCGGGCTGACGGCATCTGGTGTTTAGACGATAATTTCGTCATGCTCGTCAGCCTGGTAGAAGAAGGGGATGCAGTGGTTGGTGCCCAAGCCTGGGCGCTCCCAGGGGTTCTGCATCTCCTGTGGCTGCTTCCTGAGCTGCTGCACAATAGGGTTCTGCTTGTGCAGCGCCTTCTTCTCAGAGTGCAGCTGTTTGTAGGCGGCAACGTGCTGCTGCAGGTGGAACAGGCACTGGTCGCGCTGTTGGTGCAGACCCTGAGCCTTCTGGCTCTTCAGCTCCATCTGCGGAAGACCAAGGCGGGTGGGGGAAGCATGAGGGCAGGTGGTGGCTTGCTAACTGATTCCACTGGTTGCAGGGGAGTGGCGCAGAGCCCTGCGTCTCCTGCACCCAGCCTCACACCTCATCCCCTTCTTTCCCATCACTTTAATTTGAGGCCACACACGAGAGGGAAGGCATCATCTTTAGGGGAACACTTGTGCCTAATACTTTACATGCACAATCTCAGCTCATCCTCAACACCTGTGTAAGGAAAAAATGCTAAGTTCCTTTGTCAGGAATCTGAGGCTTAGCAAAGGGTAGCTAAGGTGGGTGAAACGCCTCTCGTGGGACAATGATGTCCAGGCCTGGGAGGATCCCGGGGCTACCAGCCCTAAGAGAGGCAGGACAGTCGATATGGAGGTCACCTGTCACTCCAGACTGGAGCGGCCTCCCTCCTGGGCCTAGCACTGCCCTCCCCAGAGACTTGTCCCCATGGCCCAGTCCTTCACAGTCAGGCTGAGCATTACCATTTCCTTCAGCTCCCCCAGCTTCTCCTGCAGCTGGCCGAGTTCCCTGGCCAGCTCGTTCTTGATGTGCTGCTCTGACTGCAGCGAGAGGGTGAGCCGCATGTTGTCATTGCTCTGCACAGAGAGAAGCAATCCGTTGCCACCCAAAGCGGCTGCATCCGGATCCCAGCACCAGGTGTCCGCCTCCCATAGTGCCTGGAGGGCTGGAAGCTCAGCCCCTCTCCTCCGACAGACATTTGAGCAGGGTCCTGGCTCACAGGGCACCTGCCTAGGTCATCACCGTCCCCTTTGGTGGCGGGGGAGTGAAGGCCCAGAGGGAAGTGTTTTGTGCCAGAGGCCTTGCCCAGGGAGGCCGAACGCACCAGTCTCACGAAGCCATCCTGCAGCTCGGCCAGCTGCTCCTTGAGCTCCCGGTTCTGCAGGAGCACGCGGCTGATGGTCACGCGGTCGCTCTGCTTGCGCTCCTCGGCCTGGCTGCCCCACAGCTCCACCTCCCGCTCCAGCTGCAGCAGCCGCTGTTCCTGCTGCTGGTTCAGGCGACTCAGGCCTGCGTTGTCCTGCACCTGGGCCTGCAGCTGTCCCGCCAGGCTCTCCAGCTCCTTCTGCAGCTGCTCAGCCTGCGCCTGCAGCTGCTGTTCTGCCTCCGACGGCCCCGTGGGGGAAGCTGGGGACTCTGGGGTGAGAGGCTCAGCTGAGAAAGGAAGCAGCCATCAGGGGCCCTGGCCTCTGGGTTTTCAAAAAGCTCCTGTCTTGGTCCTTAGCTCCTCAGGCCAACTCTTGCCCCCACCCCGGTGCTGGCTTCTTGGCTAACAACTTTCCATATTCAGATGGTCATTACCCTTCCAAGCCAGGACACAGAGTGCTTGACAGTGCATGGTGGACAGTGGGTACGCTACCCCTATTTACAGATGAGGTCACCTATGCTCAAAGAGATAACAAGACTTGCCATCCACCGGCACAGACCTGCTTCCCTCTGCCACAACACCCCTCGCCGGGGCACCCGACACCCATCCGGCTCCCAGGCCACCTCTGCCCCTGCTTACCCATCTGGCTCTTGAGCTCGACCACGGTGGTCTCCAGCTCCCGCACCTGACTCAGGCTGCACTCCTTCTCCTCCCTCAGTGTGCAGAGCTGCCCAGAGCACAGGGAAAAGAGCCATGAGCAGGGGCCACTGCCTCCCTCTGCACCGACGCTGCCCCCAAAACCCAAACACGCAGCCACCTCTGGCTGCAGGCCACAGCAGGTGCACTTGCTGTACTGTGCAACTTAGGAAGCAGCAGGGGACGGCCTCCTGGGATCCTGACACCCTACACAGGAGGTCTGGATTAAGTTTCAATCTCCTGGTTTCAGCCCTGGCTGTTGAAGGCATTTGGAAAATGAACTAGTGGATGGCAGATCTCCCTCCATCTCTGTCTGCCTGCCTCTGCCTTTCCAACGGAAACCGAGATGCTTAAATACACATTTTTGAAAAGCTGTATCACTGAGATTCTGATTGTGTAGGTCCAGGCAGGGACTCTCTCTGCAGAATTCTAGCAATTTCGGGAGGATTCTAGGGCAGGACCAGAATAAGGATTCAGAATTTCCATCTCTTGGCTGGGGGCCTCCCTGACAGTCCCTGGGGATGGTGGCCCCCGCGGGCTAGGGCTGGGGCTTCGTGGGCTGCAGCCTCTTACTTGTTGCAGCAGCAGCTCAGACATTTCCAGCTTCTTCTGCAGCTCCTCCGTGCCCAGCTGCAGGGTCTTCTTTTCGGTCACGAGGACTCGAAGCCTCTCTTGGAGCTCAGAGTTCTGCTGCTTCAGGTCCTCATTGTTTTTGCTGTGGTGAGAGGAATGAGCAAACAGAGTGGACCACTTTGGTGACCAACCCACCTTCTTGCTGCACCTGCCAAGAACCTTGGTGTTGGAGGGGTCCCCAACAATCAGGTCACTCCCGTGGCAGGCCAGAGAGAGGACCTAAGCTGCCTGAGGCCATCGCATGAGCTGGTGGCACAGCTGGGACCAGAGCTTGGCTCTGCACACGTCCCAGCCTGTACAGCCACTTCCTCCTCATGCTCCCCAGCACCCCTCCCCTCGTCACCTGTACTAAGGTCCCCCAAACTCCTCCCGCCACCTTCCCCGTCTTACTTGTTCTTGTATAACAGCAGTTTCAGAGCATCTCGCTCTTTGGTCAACTCCTTGGTGTGCTGCAAACACAGAAAAGCTACATCAGTTCTCAGGGACCCTGGATGGGGAGGGGGTGGGGTGCAGACCCAGCAGCCGTGCCATGAGCAGACACAGAAATCACATTACTTTTTCCGCTTGCTCCATAGTTTCTTGGTTCTGTCGTTTCTGTGGGGAGAGTCAAAGAAGGGAAGATGACTAAGGATGTCCCCTCTACTCCACTCCCAAAGCAAGAGGGGGTGGGCAGGGGGCCAGGGCGGGATTGGCATGTTCTCAGACCCTATGGGCACAGGACCTGTCCCGAGGCTCCCAAGGAAAGAGCATGTGGGTCTTTGCTGGTTTTTGCTCACAGCTATGGAACCGCGTCTGAATCGGGATTCTTCTTAGGGGACAGTAAGGTGAGCCTCCAGAAACGGAATGTGAGAAAAGACGGGCCTTCCACTAGGTTTGGATTTACAGGGGTGTGCGCATCGTTCGACAGCTCAGCACGTGTTACATAGGGGTTGGGGCTGCTCTTAACAGCAGGGACACAGGAATGAAAAGCACAGGTAAGATCCCTTCTCTCCCTAAGGTTGACGTCCCAGGGAGCCTGGAAATCTTGGATTCTTAGAGCTAAAAGAGACCTTTGACAACTGCCATTTCAACCTCCTTGGGAAACTCAAGCCCAGGGTGGAGAGGCGCTTGTCCAAACTCAAAGCTCAAGTCAGGGCCTGAGTCAGGGCAGGGACATGAGGCTCGTGGCCAGCGCTGAACGAGAGGCCACAATCCCAGGGCCAATGTGGCCAGGGTGGAAGCAGGGGTGTCTGGAGAAGAGAGGAGGCAGAGAGGGCAGTGACAGGACGAGAGCCATGCTGCATGCTCCATGCTCTGGGGTCCCTCCAGCTGAGACCTGGCCCACCCAGCACCCCACTCTCCCTCGGCACCAGGGGGCCCCCAGCCCCTTTCTTCAGAGCCCATGGGGAAGCGGAAGCCCAGGGTGGGCAGCATGGAATCAGGGGACCCCACTGGGCTCTTACCAATTCCTCTATGGTGTTACTGAGCTGTTTGTTTGTTAGATAGCTGGAGTCCAGGGCTACTGCCAGCTCTTGGTACCGGCTCTGAGGCGCATGCAGAGAGGAGGAGTTGCAGGAGGGTTGGGGGAGAGGTAGAGAGAGCAGTCATTAGGGCTGGTGGGGGGCACGGGCTATCTCAGCTGGCAGTGGGGCACTCAGCCCCCGCTGTGGGAGAAGGGGGGTGCTGGCCCTGCAGAGCCACTCACCTCCAGATCCTTCATGTAGGAAGATGTGAGGCCCTCTCCACCGATGTAGGACGTTGACTAGAAGAGACAAGAGCTCCCATGGAGATGCTATGTCCTCCACCGCCAAGTCCCTACCCTCAGACTACCTCTCCACCCCACCTCCACCTGGCAACTCCTCTGCCCAGCCTGCCCTCTTCCTCTCATCACCCTCTATGCCTACCCTCAGACTACCTCCCCCCCCCCACCTGGCAACTCCTCTGCCCAGCTTGGCCTCTTCCTCTCATCACCCTCTATGCCAGCTTCTCCTGGGTCCTCATCACCATCCCCCTCCCTTCCCAAGTGATGCTCTCCCTATGCTTCCTGCGCTGAGATACATGGTCACCGTTCGCATGGCCATGTCCTTCATCTGTATGGCTTCCAAGAAGAAGCCATCACCCAGCCTGCCCAACATGGCCCAGCAGGTCAGTCTCTCCAGGATCTCCCCATCTCTCAGGAATCCCAGCCTCCATTTCTGTCCTTTCCTCTCTCTCCTCCCTTCCTGAGTCCCAGTGTCTGGGGTACCTCGGAGACAAGACCATTGAGCTGCTGAGCAGGTTGACGCAGGCTCTCCGTGGAGGACAATGTCCTAGGGACAGACACACAGAGGTTAGGGGTGCAGGGGCTTGATGCAAAAGAGGTCCTTGGGCCGTGGCCTGCCCTCACTCCCATGGCTTAGGGACTGCTGCCCGCACAGGAAGACACTCACTTGGTCTCATCTATGAGGACAGGGCCATAGTCAGCATCATGGATCTGAGGGAGAAGAAAGAAACAGTGATCACCTGATTTCCAGTAAGAACCACCCAGGGGTGGCAGGGGCCCAGCTCCTTCCAGCAACCTGCCACTGCCACAAGCTCAAGAGAAAGCCCCGTCTTGGCCTCCCCCACCCCAGTGCCGGGAAGGGTGCCTGGCACTGGGAACCAAGCTGCGGGAAGAAAGGAGAAGAGAAGGCACAGCAGGCGCAGTCCTCTGGGAAGGGAGATGGTGCAAGCATACGGGGGTAGCAGGCACAAGGACAGAGGCACAAACCTGAGTTGGTGCCATGCTAGTTAGACTAGCGCCAGGGGACGCTACACCTCCAGGTAACACGGTGGCATCAGCAGAGGGTGGTGCAGGAGCAGCGCGGTCTTTGGGCGCCTGTCAGGGAACAGAGCAGGGGGTTAGGGGGCCATGCAGGAGAGGATGTGCCTCGCTGCCATGGACACAAGGGCGCAGGGCAGGTAGGAAGATGTTGTAGCAGTCAGAGTGACAGTCACACATGCTGGGAACCACAGGGGTTGTGGGAATGGCTTGCCCAGGCTTGGGGACATGTGGCATCTTTTCAGGTGGCCAAAGCTCAAAGGAGGGGGGGGCTACGACCTCCGTGGACACGAGGCCCTGGTTCTCCCTGGACCTCTGCAAGGGCTCTGACCTCCGGCAGCCACAGCAGGCAGAAGGAACGGGCACCAACATCAGGGAACACGGCAGTGTTCTTCTAGAAAGCCAGTCTCTGCCGCACAGTGACCCTAACTCTAGGCCCCTGCTGGGCCGAGGCTGCTGGTGGTGATGGGGCTCCCTCCAGGTAGCTCTCTGCCGCTGCCCTCTCCTGCTCTCCGCCCTTTCTCCCTGCCCTCCTCTCTGCCTCAACCATCAGCTGCATTTCTCTGATTCAGGCCTTTCCAAGGAGAAATGTTGCCCAAGAAGCCCCTCCCTGCTTTCTGGAGATAAAATCAACCACAGCCGCCTCATGGGCATACCTCTCAGCCCAATCCCGCAGCTCCAGAAACACCTACTCTACCAAAAGAAGCCAGGAAATCACAGGTAAGACATCTGCTCTTTGACTTGGCACATGGAGGTCATGGCGCCTCATTGCCAGAAAAACTGCTAGGGAACAATGTGGGGATCTAGCACTTGGAGCCATGGAGAAGCCTCTCCTCCTTCTCCCGCAGCGGGACCCCCTCCCTCGGCCAGCCCCATCCAGCTTCTTCCCAGGCTCAGGCCTAACTCTCGGTCCAAGCATCTGGCTCTAGAGACCACCTCATGTCAGCAGGCCAGATGGCCTCACACAGCCAAGATGGCTGAACAAGTGACAGTAGCCAGAGGAGCTGAGTGGAGGCAGGCAGTTGCTGGCTGCTCTCTGGATCCTTCAGCCCTGGCCTCTGAAAACCCCAATCGGCTGCCTCCTTAGAGTCCAGGCTGCAAAGCCTACAGATGAGGATGAGGCGTGCTGAGTCTGCAGTTTTACCGTGACCATGGCCTGGAACCCACCGCCCACAGCGATTGTTGTCCTCAGAACCCACTGTTGCCTTGACAACGTCTGTGACTGCATCTATCAGGTAAGAGCAGCAGGCCAGGCATGAGACTTTAGAGAGGCTGCACTCCCAGCCATGGACCCAGGCTCCAGGTCCTTCTTAGCATCTTAGTTCCCACTGAGCTCTACTTTAGACACAGAAACAAGAGGGGAGTGAGGAGAGCACTTCTCTGAGCAGTTTCCTTGACTTGTTAGGTTTATTTTATTTATTGGAAAGGCAGAGTGACAGAGAGAAAGGGAACTCAGAGAGAATCTTCCATCCATTGGTTCACTCCTCAAACGGGCACCATGGGCCAGACTGGGCCAGGCCAAGCCAAAGCCCAAGAGTCAGAAACACCAATCAGATCTCCCACATGGGTGCAGGGGCCCAAGCACTTGGGCTATCTTGTGCTGATTTCTCAGGCACATTAGCGGGGAAGTGGATCAGAAATGGAGCAGCTGGGACTCAAGCACTCATATGGATGCCAGTATCATAGGAAGTAGCTCAACCCACTGTGCCACAACACCAGCTCCTCTGAGCAATTTTAAATATAGGTACCGTGGCCAGTGCTGTAGTTTAGCAGGTAAAGCCACCGCCTGCAGTGCCAGCATCCCATATGGGCACCAGTTCAAGTCTCGGCTGTTCTTCTTCCGATCCAGCTCTCTGCTATGGCCTGTGAAGGGAGCAGATGGCGGCCCAGGTCCTTGGGCCCCTGAACCCATGTGGGAGACCTGGATGAAGCTCCAGGCTCCTGGCTTCCGATCAGCCTAGCTCCGGCCAGCGCAGCCCTTTGGAGAGTGGACAGTGGATGGAACACTTTCTCTCTCTCTCTCTCTCTCTCTCTCTCTCTCTCCTTCTCTGTAACTCTGCTTTTCAAATACATAAATAAGTAAATAAAAATTGAATCTATGTATCGTGATTATTTCGTGAACAACCAATTCACAATTCTAAGTCTTAAGGTGGGAGCTTAGCCTAGGTGTCGGGATACCAGATGCGAAGGCTACACCTCGCTTCAGAGTGCCCGAGCCTGATGCCTAGCTCCAGCTCTAACTCCAGCTTCCTGCTCATGCCAACCTAGGGAGACACGGTGATGGCTCAAGTACACTGAGCTCCTAGAAGTCATATACACAGCTGTCAGGACTTCTCCGTGCCTGGGCCCTGCCCAGACTATGCCACTTGGTGTCTCCTCTGAGGCCATAGAGTGAGTCACGGCCCCTGGCCAGACCTAACTGGGTGGGAGCAGCCAGTGATGGTTGACCAGCCACCTGTCCCTTTCCCCAGGCCCATCTCTGGATCAGCCCTGCTACACTGGCTTGGCTGAAGGCCCTGGGGCAGTTAGACAGGAAGTGCCAACATCATCTGCAGGTTATGGCCTACCTAGCCCCATGTACCTGTGCCCTGCCCCTCCCCCAACCCAGGCTCCCTGCAGCCCTGAAAGGTGTTCTATGACCTCACAATGCTGCCTATGACCTCTTTGCTCCCTCTGCCTCCCCCACTCACCACGTGGATGAATATTACCCACTTTTAATCTTCACACTGGCCTCAAATGCCACCTCCTCAAGCTGCAAGTCCATTCGGAACCCACCTCCCTCACCTAGCCACGCAGCTGGCCTATTGCCGCCTTTCTCCTGCCCCTCTCAGAGGACTCTGTCACCCCCACGGTGTCTCCTGTCTTGTTCTTCTACTTCCACCACTGTGCAGCCAATGCCTTTGCCGTCCACGGGCCCAGTGAATACGGTTGAGCGTCCCATCTGATTTGTCAAAGAGATGAGGGGCAGGCAGAGTGTCCTAGCACTGGTCTGTCTGGGTAGCCTCACATCCTTGCTGGTTAGTTCCTCTGAAAAGCTGACCTCCATCCTTGCGATTATAAAGCCAATTCATTTTCTCTTAATTCTACCTTCTCACTCTCAAACCAAAATGGAATTCATCAAGTTGAAAAATCACTCACTTCCATCTGGTCTACTTGCCCAGAGGGCAAAATGTAACAGAGTTTGTATTTTTTCAAATATCTCCTGGTCTGACCGCACCGGGCATTCAAAGCTCAAAACCCCACAGACCTGCTCTGAAAGTTATTCCCAAATTACCGAATCTTTGAGGTGTGCCTTACCCTCTCCAAGATGATAAAAGACACGAGGGAAGGGAAAAAATGCAATTAACCAAGCAGGGGAGGAAGCAGACATAAGCAGGCCGAGGGTTAATGGCAGCAACATAAAACAAGCCAGGGGCAGAGGCTCCCCCAAACGAGACAAGCCTCAGGGACATGCACACCTGCGAGGCAGCAAGCCAGAGAGGGGGTCTCGGCACTGCCTCCCCTTCCACTTGTCCTATGGGGCAGCGCTACCCCATCGGAACGGTTAAGGTCAGACACCAGCACCTTCAGTATGGCCTGCATCTAGAGGCGGTGAAAAGGGGAAAACAAGGGCAGGGGAAGACACAGAGACGTGGCTTAGAGAGAGGCGAGGATGTCGGGGAAGGAAGAGGTGGAGTCAGGAAACGGAGGCTGAGGAAGAGCAGAGATCCACACCGTGGCCCCCCAGGCCATCCTCTCAGACTGGCCATTGCTGCCTCGCCAGACAGAGGGAAAAGTCCCCAGGCCCCAGAGTCACATGAAGCGCAGTCACTGACCAGCGCGGCTCTCAGACCCTCCCCCAGACACGACCCCCACTCTCCATGTTAAAACCAGACTTCTGCAGAAGGGTTCTCTTGAACAAGGGAGGCTACAGCTCAACAATTAGAAGACACTGTTCCAATCCAATAATATCTGACAGCCTGAAACTGAAGCTCAGGGGAGGCTGTGACTTTTCTGAGGTCACCCAGAGCCAAGGCCGAATCCCAGTGCCTGGGGCTTCCTAAGGGGACAGCCTGATGGCCAGGTTGCTCTCACTGACCTGGCTTTTCCTGAGGCCAGGGATGAGGAAGTCGCAAATACCAGCGACTATGAATGTTACAAGACCCTGTATTCTGGATTAATATGAGAACAGCAAAAACTCTCAAACTTTGTGAGTAAAACATCAGCCCTATCTGTTTCACAGATGTGGAGAGAGAGGCCCAGAAAGCTTGAACAGTTTGCCTTACATCATATCCCTAGCAGAGGGAAAGGGAGCATTCAAACCCAGAATCCTTGACCAGTAGCTAACACTCCCTTCCACCATCTTCCACTGTCCTCTGGATCCCCAACCCCCCACCCCCCATTGCCCCTTAGCCCCCGAGCCCCCAGCAGCCTGTCCAGCCAAGACTCACATCCTCAGTTGAGTGACAACCCCGAGAAGTGGTTGTCTCAGGGCTACTGCCGTTTTTAAGGTTTTTCTTCTTTTTTCCTCCTGCAGGACCACCAGGCCTGTTCTTCCGCTGATACTCTCTTAACTGTGGAAAGGAAAAGCAGTTGATTCTCTGGAATGCCCTAAGCCCCTGCGGTCACATCCTACTTCACAGTGTTCACAAGAACTCTCATGTCCACCACTGACTTCATGCCACTGACAACCCTTCAAGGGGCTGGAACGATCAGTTAACGTCTGAAGAACTGACAACATGGCTTCAATAAAAGGGAATGATGGGATTTAAAATCAGCTTCCAACTCTCACTTCTGGGGTTCTGCCAAGAATCAGCAGCTGCCTGGGAGCAAAACCAGAGGTAGAGGTAGAAGGTTAAACATTATGGGGTCAGGAATTGTACTTTGTGTGGTTTGGAAACAAGACATTGGGTCCTTTCTTCCATATCAGAACCTCACAGAACTTCGAGGGGCACCCGAGGAACCCTGGACACCGAGGAGAAAGAGTAGAACCCAGGCATTATTCCAGCCAAGGGCCCATTATGATGTCATGACAGGTTCCGTCCCAAGCCACAGGATGGCCTCACCAAGCTGCTCCCTCGCTCCTCTGTGGCAGTGCCCTCACCCAGCTTCAAAAACTCCCCTGGGGAGGGTTCAGGCTATAAAGTTTAGTCTCCCAAGGTCTGTTTCACAGACGGTCACACAGCTGTCACTCCAGAGAGCCTGAGTGTGGGGCACTCTGCTCCCAGGGTCAGGGAAATTGAATGGGAGCCTGAGAACTCGCACACCCCCCAAAGTCTCTGGAGAGTAGAAACCTGGGGGAAAACCAAACCAGTTTTCCCGCGGTCACCCAGAAAACACTGCCCACACTTCCAGCTCCCCGGGAACGGGACACATCTCACTGTCAGTGTCCGAGCTGAGGAAGGGGGTCCCCAAGTCCCCAGTCCCCTTGCAGGCGGAAGCCGAAAGGGGGTGAGGACTTAGGGGACTGGGCCGGGAGATCAAAGCCCGAGCTGGAGGTAATGCCAGTCCCCAGGGGGATTTGACCTCACTACATCCCACTCTGCCCTACCCACGCTCTGCGCAGGGGGAGGTGGGGCACAGGGTAGGGACCGAGTCCTTGGAGACTGAGCCCACAGACCCCAAGGAGGTCCGGCTTCGGGAGGCCAGAGGTGAGGTCTGAGGCTGGGCCGAGGAGCCCCAGGAGCCAATGGCCCAAAGTCACCCAGGGGCGACAAGCCAGGGCGGGGGCTGGGTGCTGAGGGGGTGGTGCTGGCTGAGAGGACTTGGGTGGGGGAAGCCAAGGGGCGCTCGGGCTCGACCCGAGTGTCTGAGGAGCCGCACAGACCCCGCCACGGACCGACAATCAGACGGGCAGTGGGCTGGGCCGGGGGGCGCGACCCGATGTTTTACCTTTTTCTTGGCCGCAGCCAGTTTGCTCTGTCGAGTTTCCTCCGACATCGCGGGGCGGGGAGGGGTGGGGGGGAGGGGGGGCCACATCACCACGATCCCGGCAACCAATGCGAATTGCTCCCAGCAGCTACCGCGCAGATGTGTGACTGAGCCAGGAGACGCAGGTTCAGGGCAGAACTAGGCGGGGCTGGGTGGGCGTGGTCGCCACACTTCAAGCCCATTGGTCAGTGAGAAAGATGAAACAAAGAAGGGCGTGGTCCGAGGCGTCAAAATGGGAGCTGCGCGTGCAGCTGTCACCGCCCACTCTGGGGGCGGGGCGATTTCCCTTGGGTGCGCGCGCAGCTTTCTCTAGTTAGTCTGCGGACCCCAGAGGCCGCTCTCCGGCCCGCGCCCTGGACCCCCTTTCTCCACAGGCGCCCCCGAACCGGGGCCTTCGGAACCCAGGGCTCAGGAGGTGGGCGGAGCGCAGAGCAGGGGACACTGCATCAGTTCACGAGCCCTTTCTGACTCCTCCCAGATGTGCCCCAGACGTTCTCGTTTCAGAAATCCCCTCGGGGGTCCCTTTCACGTCCTCCATACACTGCCCCTCTCACACCCAGCCCTTCCTCGAGGGGCCCCACGCTGATCCCGAAAGCGCGTCTGTCCCCGCCCAGCTGGATCCAGTCGGGCGCGCCCAGTTCCCGGCGGCTCCTCCTCCCGCGCCCCCACGGGCTCCCTTTCCCCTCAGAGCAGCTCCGGGGCCTCAGCCTCTCCCACGCTTCCCTCCAGGGCTGAGCAGACCCGGCCGCAGCTGCCGCGGGGCCTTCCGGTCACGGTGAGTAGCCCGCGCCCCCCCGACCCTGTGCGTGTGCCTGCGCCCCCCGACCCGTGAGGAAGTCTGTGCCCCCGACCCATCCGTGTGCCTGCGCCCCCCGACCCGTGTGGATGGTTGCAGACCCCATCCCGTGAGGTTGTCTGTGCCCCCCGACCCGTGTGTGTGCCTGCACCGCCCAACCCCATGAGTGTGCCTGCGCCCCCCTATCCGTGAGGATGTTTGCGCTCCCGAACCGTGAGCATGGCTACGGACCCAGACCCCGTGAGGATGCCAGCACCTCCCGACCCCGTCATGGTGGCTGCACCCCCCCGGACCCGTGAGGAAGTCTGTGCTGCCAGACCTCGTGCGTGTGCCTGCGTTCCCAGATCCGCGCGGATGTCTGCGCCCCCAACCAGTGAGGGTGCCTGCGCCCCCTGACTCCGTGCATGTGCCGGAGCCCCCAGACCCTGTGAGGATTTCTGTGCCTCCCGGACCGTGAGGGGGCCTGCGCCCCCCGACCTGTGAGGAAGTCTGCGCCCCCCAACCCCATGAGTGTGCCTGAGCCCCCCGACCAGTGAGGATGTCCAGGCCACCGAGCCGTGAGCATGGTTGCGGACCCCGACCCCGTGCGGGGGGCTGCAGTAGACATCAACCCGTGAGGGTGCCAGCGCCTCCCAACCCCGTGAGGGTGCCAGCGCCTCCCAACCCCATGAGGGTGGCTGCACCCCCGACCTCTTGAGGTTGCCTGGGCCCCTCGACCCGTGAGAGTGCCAGCGCCCACCGACCAGAGAAGATGCCAGCACCCCGACCCTGTGAGTGTGCCTGGGCCCCCAACACTGTGAGAATGTCCGTGCCCCCCGACCTGTGAGGGTGCCCGTGCCCCCTGACCCGTGAAGTTGCCAGCGGCCTCCAATCCGTGAGTGTGCCAGCACCCCCGATTCTGTGTGGGTGCCAACGCCCTCCATCCCGTGAGGATTTCTGAGCCCACCCAATGTGGGGAGGATGTCTATGTGCCCCCCCACACAGTGGCAGTCACAGCTACCCCCAGCCCTCCCCCACCCCAACCACAGCCCACAGGTGGGCCTTCCTCAGTCTTCCTGGGCAGACAAAACTCCGGGAGGCTCCCGAGCTGTCTTTCAGAATCCCTCTCAGTGGTCCCTGAGGAGCGTCAGCCAAGGTAGGTACCTGCCACTCTGCCTGCCTCAGGACCACATCTGCCCCACTGCACCAGACCCACACTGGAGGGCACCCCTGGGATCTCAGGGCCAGGCCCCTCCCTCTCCCTACTGCAGCTCCAGACTCCCTCTTTCCTGTTTCTGTCCTTGGGCCAGCTGGCTCTCTCCTCTCCCTTCCCAGGCAGCCTCGGGACTCAGTGCAGCTGCCCAGGGCCTCCGTGGCTGAGCCTGGGGGTTCTCTGGACAGGATCCGAACCACTGGCAGATGTGGGTGCCTGTTGCTGTTGATTTCTCAACAATGTTGCAGTGGATTCATTTCTGAGAGGAACAGCGTGGTGGGGGCAAGAGGCGCGGAGTCACTACACAGACCCCGGGAGTCCAGTGAAAGCAGGCTTGAGGTGAGCAGCCGGCAGACTTGTTTATTTCAGTTGAAACTACCTCTTATATAGCCAAGACAAGCCAATATGGTCAAGGGGCAGTCTATGCCCCATCCAATCACAGCCTGCCAGGCAGTTTCCAAAGCCATCCAATCACAGCCTGCCAGCAGCTTCCAAAGCCATCCAGTCACAGCCTGTTGCCAGGCAGTTTCCAAAGCCATTCAATCACAGCCTGTTGCCAGGTGGGTTTCAAAGCCATTCCTGAGTAACTGATGCTCCCTTGCCAGTGGCCACCTTGGCATGGCCCTCTCATTCCACCACACCAAGCCATAACAAAGAGCTGGATCAAAAGTGGAGCAGCTGGGACTCAAACCGGTGCCCATATGGAATGCTGGCACTGCAGACAGTGGCTTTACCTGCTACACTACTGTGCCAGCCCCAGAACAAGCATGTATAACACAGCAAGTTAGAATATTGGATTTTGAATATGAATTCACATTAGGATATGCTTTATATTGTAGGAGTTTATGGATAGAGGTTATGGGCAAACACAAGACTTGTGTAGGTAAGTTTTACATAGATACTTAGGCATGAAGATAAATTTTTCATTACCTACACAATCATATTATTGAAAAATAAAAATAGAGATAAAGGATGGAAAAAGAAAGCAGAGGAGTCATATGTGATTTTTTTTCAGGGCCCATATAAATAGTGACACTTTGGCAAGGGATTTTTCATGAGATTGTTTTAAGGAAGAAATTTTTCTGAAAAGGAAACTCAAATGTAGCACACACTTATTTTCTATGATATTTCTGCTTAAGCAAAGTGCTTATGCATGTATTACTTTCTTGTAAATTCAAAATTACCGGACAGTTCATCGGGAAAAACAACAGGAGAAAGTCAAAAAATTGATTTAGAGTTCACTTTTCTTTTACAATGTAGACTGACAAAATATTTTTAAAATAAATGTAACCCTTGATATTGTAGAAATATTGCCATATTGCAAATGTGTGAAATATGGGAAATACTTATAAATAGTAAAAACACAAAAAGACACACACACACACATAAACTGTACACATACTAGGGTCTATTCTTATCTTTAGGGGGAAAGGACTCAAAGATAAATGTCTCCCCAGTTTTTTAACTCAGAACTACTCTCAGTGGTTCACACATTTTACTGATGAGTAAACTTGCTTCAAGTTTTCCATGAATAGAAATTGAGAAATTTGTCAATTGTACTCTATGGAGCATGTAAGTGACCATACCATAAACTCTCAAATGCAATGGTGTGTTGGAGTTCTTTCCTGGATATTGTTCCTGACCTTGTGGGCAGTGAGAGCCACAGGAGAGTTAAAGGTACTTCAACTGACAGATCTGTTACTTGGAGGCTCCACAAGGAATCAATGACATCTTTGTGCAACTTGAGGGCTTGGCTGCTCCTCTTCTGATTCAGCTCTCTGCTATGGCCTGGGATAGCAGTAGAAGATGGCCCAAGTCCTTGGGCCCCTGCACCATGTGGGAGACCTGGAAGAAGCTCCTGGCTCCTGGCTTCGGATTGGTACAGCTCCAGCTGTTGTGGCCAATTGGGGAGTGAACCATCAGATGGAAGATCTGTCTCTTCTCTCTCTCTCTCTCTCTCTCTCTCTCTCTCTCTCTCTGCCTCTCCTCTCTCTGTAATTGAGACTTTCAAATAAATAAATAAATCTTTTTAAAAAACTGTCAAATAACCCAGCTTACAGGTCTTAAGAGTACCTGAAGATGTAGAAAGAGAGAATGGAATAGAAGGCCTATTTTTGTGAAATAATCACAGAAAACTCCCCCAATTTGGAGAAAGAAAAGGATGCCAAGTACAGGAAGCACATAGAACACATAAGAAACATGACCTGAAAGGATCTTCACCATGACACATTGTAGTCAAACTTTCCACAGTAAGGCATAAAGAAACATGTTCGTATGTGTTTTCTGCTGTAATCAATTTCTAAAGTGTATACACTGACAAGAAGAACTACACAAAGTACAGTCATTGAACAAGGTATATCTCCTGAGAGGGGCTCCAGGCGGCTCAGCCAGTGCTACTGTTTGTGTTTCCCACACCGCAGGAGCCCTCAGGAGGATGCTAGGACTCCGGTATGCAGTGGGCTGGCCGTCAGGACCACGGGGTGGTGTGCAGTCCCCGCCTGCAGCTTCTTTGAACCCTGGGGCATCAGCTTTCCAATCTCTGTGTGGTGAGGAAGAACTTGAACTTACTGTATGACCCGATTTCCTTGAGTGAGGCAGCAGATCTCAAGCAGGCCTCTCGGCGTAGGGGTCTGGGTCAGTTTTCTTGTTGCTAATCGTGCAGCAGCACAGGCTCGGTGTGTGAGAAGGAAGCGGTATTATTGACCTCATGGTTTTGGTGCAGGGTCTAGGGGCAGCATCCGGTGATGATCTTCTTGCTGGTAGAGTCCTGGGGTGGCACAGAGACCAGCGGACAGACAGAAGGGGTGCAGAGGGGGCCAATCCAAAGTGGTCTATGTTGCGGTCCCCTAGGGATAAGGCGTTAATCCATGAACACATGAATGGATTTATCCTGATCACTTCCTGCAGGGCCTCACCTGTTCTCACTGCTGAATTTCTCATCACTGGATTAACTGTGCCCATGAGTTTCAGAGGGGATAAACCATGTTTAATAGAGAGCATGCAGGCTTGCAGGAGGTCCCTAAATTTCCAGGTCTCCTCCCACCACCTAGTTTTGAGATTTAGTGCTTCTGCCCCTCATGTGGAAGAAGGCACCCTTTCTTAGGGCTTTCAAGGAAAGAAGGAAAGGACTTCAAGCTTTTCTTCCTACTAGGATCACCTATTATTTTCATTGCTTGCAACCTCATCTGATTTTCTGAATCACGAACATGATTATTGCCTGAGTATTACCAAGAAAATCTTACAAGTTGTCATGTGACATGCTAGAAAGGACCCGTGTGTGTTGAATGTCCTTATGTACTTCTGTTGCCATGTCAGGGATTTTGTGCCTCAAAAAATGTTCCCAAGGTCGTATGTTTATATTTGTTTTTGACAGGCAGAGTTAGACCTCGAGAGACAGAGAGAAAGGTCTTCCATCCATTGGTTCACCCCCCAAATGGCTGCTATGGCTGGCATGCTGCGCTGATCCAAAGCCAGGAGCCAGGTGCTTCCTCCTGGTCTCCCATGCGGGTGCAGGGCCCAAGCACTTGGGCCATCCTCCTGCCTTCCTGGGCAGCAGCAGAGAGCTGGACTGGAAGAGGAGCAACTGGGAATAGAACTTGGGGCCCCAACCGGGACTAGAACCCAGGGTACTGGCACTGCAGGCAGAGGATCAGCCAAGTAAGTCATGGCGCCAGCCTATGTACTTTTTTTAAGCAGTTCATAGTGAACAACATTTTCATTATTTTCAGTTCAGGAGAGCCAAAGTGTTATCTTGTAGTTTTTTTTTTTTTTTTAAGAATAAGCTAAGAAAAATCCTGTAGTACTTATAATATACAAATGAACTATACTATTAGATATAAATTAAATGTTATATTTTTATGAAGATAAATGCCTAGTAATAAAAGCAAATTTTAAGTTTATTGATTTATAGAATTTCTCTTTTGGAAGGGAACCTTCAATATCAGCCATTTTCATTCAAATTATAATATTTTTTCACTTTTAAGCAATCTCTGGTGTTATTAAGATTTCTTCACTAAACTTACACATTAATAGAATTATCTTAAAATACATTATTAATTACTTAAATACATTAATATAACACATCGGAAAACAAGTCTTACTACCTGCTATTGATTATAGTTATCAGAAGTATTAAGATGTTGTCACAAATTTGAAACAAATAATTGTTTTGTCTCTGAAGTGATTTTTCAGGAATAATGAATAATGGAAATCTATAAGAGATGTTTGGATAACATCTGCCTCATGGACAATTCATAGAAATATAGTTATTTATCTCTAGTTGTAGGCTTAATTTTGAAGTTATCATTTTTATGGCAATTGTGATAATACAAATGACCACAAACCAAATAATAAAATAATTGAAATTCCTATACTTTGAGAAAATGGATAGCTTCTGTTAATGTACCAAACATAATTTTTCTATACTAATTTATTAGAAACATTTCAAAAATATTTCTTTCAATTTGGGGAGAGGTAAAATAATGAAAAAAATCAAAATTTCTGAAAATTAAAGTATTTGCATTTAATTTGTTCATTTTCTGCCTCATCACCAATGTAGTTCTTTAATTGGATAGAAAAAAAGTAGATTCAGAATCTACATTTGTTGACCACTAATAACAGAGTAGGGCAGTGAAGCATCATTAGCCCAATGAAACTTACAGGATTTCAGTGGTGGGGAAATCAGGACTCTTTCTGAATTTTGTTAGGGAAATGTGTTCTCATTTTATGTGGAGCTGTCTACTTTTGGTATTTTTATTTTAATATATATTTTAAAGTTTCAGCAGAACTCAGCACTAGGAGTGTCTACCTTATTTTTTGGGGAAAAATCTGACTAATTTTTAAGAATGGGGCATCAATATTGTTTCATTTTCTCAGTTTTGAATATAGTGTGTCATTCTGTGAAAACCACCTTGCCAGTGTGCTTTTTGTTTAGTTTGCTTTTTAAGTGCAAACTTGAAAGTTTTACTTATAAAAAGTGACCTTTATGTTTTTCCATATGATTGACAGAGCTTTTACCCAGTTATCTTCATTGTATGACAATAAATCTATTCAATAAAGATTAACAAATGCATTAAAAGTGCAAATAATCACTATGGTATGCTTGCTGGTTTTATTTATGATGATGTATTGATCATCTCTGTCAGGTACTGTGATAGATATGTCTATTGGAAAATATAATTTCATTTCCCAAAAAGGCAAGCAAGTTAAAACCCTTCTGCAATTATGAAGTCATCCTCTGATAACTTACTGATTCATTTCTTGGTGTCAAAATCAAGAACCAATTATCTGTTTGACTTGGAGATATTAGGTCCCTGTGGTACTATGAAGAAAATTATTTAGTGCCTTTCAGCTAGTGAAATGATGATTGGTGGGTCTGTTTGTTGAACAAAAAGGGGGAGGGGAAGAGCACACATTAGCTATAAGGCTGTAGCTATCTCATTGGAGGTAGTCATTTCAGTCTTTGGAATTAATTCTAGAATTTAATGATAACTTTAAGTTTGTGTAAAAAGTGGTTAGTAAAAAATTTATTTACCTCATTATATAAACATAAGACTATGTTTTAAAACCTTCTTTCCCAGCCAAGATACTAATTTTAATACAAAATGGGAAAATATTCAATACAGTGTCTCCTTTTGGAGGCTTCCTACAAGTGAAAGCAGATTTGTGGGGGATGATTGAGTTTTGAGCAACTTCCTTGCTTCCAAGACAAAACCCACATTGCCTTCGTCTGTCCCTAAAGTGCCAGACCCAAGCTACTTTTAAGAAGCTACTGTACTCCACCTGCCTTGGATGAAGCAAGCAGCCCCTTTGCTACCAGAATTCCCCAGAAACAGCATGGGCATTTTCCATGGTAGAGACAGCCCTTGTGAATTCTGCAACTGCAGGAGCTCTGGAGCTCTACTTGCTTGCTCTGTACAATATAGAGAAATTCTCACGGCCTCATATGGCCGTGAGAACCAGTAGCATCTCATACAGAATTCCAGAGTACCAGAACTAAAGAGGCCTCTTCTGAAACTCTAAGCACATGGTGCTGGAAGGCAGGACAGTGCATCATTTTTGCATGCCTTGTAGGCACAAAGGAAAGTTCTCTCCAATATCTGAAGCTCTAGGATTGCTGCTGCTTGTGTTATAAACCCTGGAATAACACTCATCTGTGGGAGTGATACAATCCTATCTTTGTATGCTTCAGGCTGGAATTCAACCCTGGAATAATTGGCAGTCAACCTGAGAGACCTGGATAAGGACCCCACTGTATCCCGTATCTCCAGGGCTGTCACTCTGTGTACTGTATTTCAGAGAGTCATGTAAATACACCTAGACCCTAGGGAATGGAGCCTATAAGCATTCCAGTGCTCCAGACCCAGACCTGCTGATACACAACCCTCAGCATAAACTGTATTCACCCTGTAGGACTCAGGGAATGTCTCCTTAACATTTCCCAGCTTGGGACTTGAACTCATGATGCTAAATTTCTGGGTATTAGTCAGGCTAACATATCAGGATCTGGGGAATGTCTTATCCACATAGTATAGTAAAAAGGCCATAAATTTTGCTGCCACAAACTCCAGAAATATTCATATTTGCCTGGTAGAAAAGGGTAGCATGACCAGAAATGTGGATACGGACATCACAAACCCCAGTATGGCTGACAACTCTAGGGACTAAGAACCTATGGAAGCTCATGCCACTTCAAAGTCATACTGTAACATCCACAAAAGGCTGAAGAACGGAAACCTGTGGCACATGTAGACAATGCTGACACTGATTACTAATGAAGAAATCAAGTCTCAAAAACTTCAAAAGATTGAAATCATACCATGCGCCTACCTTCTCAGACTGAAATCAATCTAACTAGACATCAATAATAATAAAAAAGGGCACTGGAAAGTTCACAGGTACATGAAAATTAAACAACATGATGACCAATGCATCATTTTAAAAAATTAAAAAGAGGTCAGAAAATTTCTTAAAACAAATGAATATGAAAACACAACATATCAAAGCATAGAACACAGCAAAAGCAGTATTAAGAGGAAATTTTATAATGACAAGTGCTTACATTTAAATTTGAAAGATCTTAAATAAATGGTCTAATGCTGCATCTCAAAAACCCAGAAAAAGTGGCCAGCACTGTGGTGCAGTGGTTTAACACCCTGGCCTGAAGTGCTGGCATCCCATATGGGCACCGGTTGGAGACCCGGCTGCTCCACTTTCTATCCAGCTCTTCTTCTTCTTTTTTTTTTTTTTTTTTCTTTTTGGACAGGCAGAGTTAGACAGTAAGAGAGAGAGAGAGAGATAGAGACAGTTATAGACAGTGAAAGAGAGAGACAGAAGGGTCTTCCTTCTGTTGGTTCACTCCCCTATTGGCTGCCACAACTGGCACTGTGCCAATCTGAAGCCAGGAGCCAGATGCTTCCTCCCAGTCTCCCATGTGGGTGCAGGGACCCAAGCACTTGGGTCATTCTCCATTACCCTCCCGGGCCACAGCAGAGAGATGGACTAGAAGAGGAGCAACTGGGACTAGTACCCGGTGCCCCAACCAGGA